TCAAAATAAAGCTAATTGTACTAGGTAGTTACCTATTGCAGCATCACAAATTATCCTAAAGCTTAGTGGCTTAAAGCAACAGTGGCATTTATTCTCTCAAACTTACTGTGGAACAGGTATTTGGGAATTGCTCAGGTTCTCTTTCGTAAAGGTGTTTGCTGGGCCTGAAGTCCCACCTGAAGGTTTGAGGGGGCTGGAGGATCTGCCTCTAAGATGACTCATGCACATCACTGGCAAGTCAGTATTGGCTATTGATAGGATGTCTCAATTCCTCATCAAGTGGACCTCTTTATAGGGCTGATTTGGTGTCCTCACAACACTTCCCCAAAGCAAGTGATCCAAGCAAGGCAGAGCTGTAATGCCTTTTATGACCTTGCTTCCAAAGTCACACACTGTCATTTTCACACAGGTCACCCTTTTTAATGTGGAAAGGGAAGTTACAGGGACATAAAAACCATATCACAAGAATCACTGGATAACACTTTCAGAGCTGGCTACCATATAATCAAGTCACAGTAAGAACCCACATTTCCAAAATAAAAGGTTGTTCATATGGGGAATGTATACACACTTTAACAGCTGATAGCTCAATTTTGGAAATGAAATGTATTTTACTAAACACTGCCTTTATAATTATTCAAAGTGTGTGTATACATTTTGGAGGGGCACCCTGTATTCTATAAAGTATGGTATGGTAGATTGTCGCAGAAATGACTCCCAAAGAATCACATCTCCCTAAAGCCATATTCTTGCATAGTTCCCTCTCATATGGACTCTGGGTTTGGCCATGCAACTTGTTTTAGCCCATGGGGTATTGGCCATGTGATGCAAGCAATGGTTTGAGAAGCAGGTGCACTTTGGGACTTGCCCTTTCATGTTGCTGGAGAATCTTTCTTTACCGTGTGAATAAGCCCCCTGGAGGGTAAAGGAACACATGGAGAGACGCCCAGCCTGCCCAGCCATGGTAGTCAAGGCCCATGTCATAAATGAACTCTGACAACAGCATTGGAACGTAGACTAGCCATCTCTGTTGAGCACAGCCCAAATTACTGACTCATAAATTAGTGAGCAAATAAATAGTTGTTTTTAAAGCCACTAAATTTTGAGGTAGTTTATTAGGCAGCAATATACATCTGATATATTTGAATGCAATGGTCTTTCCAATTTGGCTTGGGCGAAATCACAGAAGAATTCATGGAGTCACAGAAGAAATAACTCTTCAGATCTAATATGGTCACCACTAGTCACATGTGGCTAGTGAACACTGGAATGTGGCTAATCCAAACTGAGATGTGTGTACATGTAAAACACACAGTGAGTTTCAAAGACTTCACATTTTAAAAAAGGAATATAAAATTTCCCATTAATTTAAAAAAAAACTGATTACACATTGAACTGATACTATTTGGGGTATAGCAGGTTAAATAAAGTTTATTATTAAATTTAGCCTTACCTGTTTATTTTATTTTAAAAAATCGGTTCCTAGAAAACTTAACATTATATGTATGGCTCATGTTTATGCTCACATTACATTTCTATTGGATTGTGTCCTTTCTGGTTACTGAGAAAACTGTCAGCCACTGCCATTGTTCTGTGCCAAGTTTTGTCTCCAAGAATCAAGGGAAACTGAAGCTCCAGACCTCAAGGCTACTTCTTAAATCCCACCGCCACCACCAGCCCTCCCCACCCAAGTACACACATCGTGCAATCCTGTCCTGGCCAACATCCTGCTGTGTTCTGGTCAAAACATGCGGCCAAGGAAAAGTCTAAATTTATTCACACTGCATGTAAAATTTAGTGGCCATCATCTTCATTTTAAACTAAAATGCATATTTTTAAAAATTTGAAAACTGAAAGGATAAATCATTAGGAGTAGATCAAAAGAGTTATTATTCTTTTCCCCTCCACCTCCTAACCGCCCCCCTCCCCCCCCTCACTCCCCAGGTAGTGGTAGAGAGGGAAGTGGGACTGGGAGAAAAAGACTTGAAGATGATAGAAATAGCCTCAACTGACAAACTACACTCTGTCTGCATGTCCTGATTGCTCTCATCGCAGGATTGGTTCTGTGCTGAGGGTGGCCCCAGCCCAGCATGGTCCAGGCTCTTAACTCACACAGGAAAGAGTTCAAGAATGAGTCCAAGTGAGAGAAAAAGCAAGTTTTATTCAGGTAGAAAACAAGAGACTAGGATGCCGGTTCCTGGAGACAGAGCCGGGGGCTGAGTCGCCCACCGGTTGCAAGTCGCACAGAGTGTGAAAGAAGAGAAAGCAGATGCGAGTGAACTCTTCAGTGAGTTACAAGTGGGTCCCTCAGTTCTTGGGATTTTATGTGTTTCCAAGGTTGGTGGTTTCTGAACTTTGTGGCGTCAAATTCTGGCTCTGCCTTCTGGTACCTAATACGGTCTGTTCTGGGAGTACCATGGCGTTCATCCCCCTGCGGGGAGGGGCGCTTTTACTTGTGATGCCAGTTTTCCTTAGAATGGTGATACAATGAGCTTTGGGGTTGTTCTCTGGCTATTTTTCCTGCATCTTGGAATAATCTGGTTTGAGCCAGTCCTTGTTGTTGACTTCTGTGACCACTGCAGGGGTTTCCTGCTTTCCCTTTGATCCTGGTGGGGGTGGGGGCTCGATGAGAGAACCTAGCAGCTTATCAGCCAGTGATGTCTGCTCCTACTTCCTCACTCCACTTGTCAGTAGCCTTCCCTAACTTCTTTCTATCCTGCCTCACTCCCAGCTGCTAATGATCAGGAAGCAAAAGATCTTTCACTGTGGCCTTAATAGAATCTTTCCTAAAACACTTTTCACTCACCTGTACACTGCCTGGGTCCCCTGCGGTGGCTGCAATAGGACTTGACAAGCCCAGCAGAGAAAGGGGCCCTTTCAAGTTTTCCTAGTCCACACATAGTATGCTGTTACCTTTCTCCAGAGCAATCCATTCTTACCATCGTGTAGGAAAGAATTGGGTCTGGGGGGGATGAGGACACATTTGTAATACCTTAACTAATAATAAAAAAAAAAAAAAAAAAAAATTGGGTCCTAAATTTGTCCTATGATCCATGTGGCTTTTCTCGATGAAAAATACCACATAGGACCATCATGGTTGGGGGGAGGGGGTGGCGGAGTACAGGGAAGAATGGAAATGTGTATAGACACTTCACTGTACTCTCTGTCCTTCTTGTACCTAAATGATCCTACTCACCTCTCATCAGTAGGGTATATATATTGAATTAATTTTCCAGCAGGAAAGATGAATTTTCACTGCCATCCTCCTTTCCTTGTGATCAACATATGCATTTTAAATTTTTTAATTTAATTTTTAAATTAAATTTGTTGGGCTGATATTGATAGATCCTCCCTTCCCCCAACTGGTGGGCAGAGTATGAGGTAACCTACAGCCTGGAAATACCTGAGTGACTAACCATGTACCTTATATGGACTATACATTGGACCACCAATCCACACCTGCCAATACCCTAAGCCCTTGTTCCTATATGGACCATGCAGTAAGCCACCAATCAGTGTGAACCGAGTACACTAAGCCCCCACCCCTTCCCATTCCGCCCCTCAAAAGGCATGCCCACCCCTGCACGTGCTGCTGTCCTCCCCTTGCGAGACAGCCCGGCAGGTCCTTCTCCTCTAATAAAGCCTGTAGTCCTGGTTTTTGGCCTCTGTCTGATCTTTCAGATATGGGTTAATAAGATTAGATAGGTTTCAAGTGTACATTTCTATGATACATCATCTGCATATTGCATTGCGTGCCCCCCACCCGAAGTCAAATCATTTCTGTCACCATATATTTGGCTCTCTTTACCCTTTACTACCTCCGCCCCCTTTCCCTCTGATAATCACTATACTGTTGTCTGTGTTTATGAATTTCAGTTTTATATCCCACAATGAGTGAAATCATATAGTTCTTAGCTTTTTCTGACTGACTTACTTCACTTAGTATAAGGTTCATCCGTGTTGTCACAACATCTTTTCCTATGGCTGAGAAGTATTACATTGTGTGTATGTACCACATCTTCTTTATCTGGTCCTCTAGCTAAGGACACTTTGGTTGGTTTAAACATATGCATTTAAAGAAAGATCTGAGGTTTTTCTATTCTAAACAAGTACAATGAATAATAATAATACCTGCCGTACACGCTGAGAGAGGCCGCAAGGAACACAGACATTCAGACAGACGTGGATTTGCATATTAGTTCCAGAACTAGTGGTTTGATTCTAGGTGAACTACTTAGCTTCTCTGAACTTTTAGAAAATGAGGACAATGGTACTTTCTTCATTGGATTCAGGTGAGAATCCCTAATATGCTATGGCTAGAGCACCAAACACAGGCAGGGCACATGATCAGGGGTCTTAATAAATACTGGTTCACTCAGCTTTCCTTCCTCTTCCTTTACTTAACATATGTGCTATGGGGGCTAACGGCATCACTTCAGTTCTAATGTTTTACAGGCCCATAGAGCCTGAATGAAATATCTCTGCTCTGAAAGCAGAACACTGTTTTTCCTCGCTGTAATCAAGGATGAAAAGGTTCTCTCTTGAAGTTTGCAGTGTTAAGAGGGAACTCACTGATTCAGACTAACAGCTATGACTGGGCAAACCAGCCAGAGAACAAATGTGTTCAATAGTGAAATGAATAAAAGATGGTGCAAGACTTTTTGGTATGGTTATGTGAATGGCATGTCCAGACAACATGGTTTTTGGTGGGTGGTGAGGGTGGAGTCTGATTTTAGAATTATTTGAATATTGGTGGGAAGATGTTTTGAACTAGGCATGAAGAGGTGCTTTAGGAACACGGTGTGGCCTGAGGGAGATCAACGGACATACAGAGAGGATCTTGCTGGAGGGGAGAGGAGACACCCAACCACCACCAACATTATTGAAAGGGAGTGCATATGGGACCAGGGGGTGAGGCTTCTAGAAAGTTGGGGGCAATGTGAGTCTAACAGAAATGCACACAAATGTTTCTTCTAATGTGAGCAATTGGTTCAATTTAGGGCCCAAAGTTCGAGTGCGGGGGAGACTTGGAGCCATTCCGAAGGGACCTAGCTGTTACGCCCTCCCGAAGAGCAGCCAGAGGCACTGGGCTGGTAACATGGACAGCAGGTGGTTCGGAAGAGACTTCAAGTGGCTTCATTTTCTCTATGGGATAGTGTGGCTGCCTCTCCCGCGTTCCCATTTAGTAGCAAAGTAGGAGGAAACTATTCAGCTAAATGTAGTAAGAAAAATGAGGGAGTCACATGATTGATTATGAGACAAAAGAACACTTAGTCCAGAGGACTAGGAAATTTAACTCCCAGGAGCTCTTTCTGAAGGGGTGAAACCTTATTTGTCTTCATGCTACATGTGGTCATGATCTCTAACTTTATGACATTTTCTAGATCCAAACTCATAATGTAGAACAAAAACTTAGCATAACCAATACCCAAAGATTGACATTATATAGCTTTTGGTCCTCCCTTACCTCAAGTTTCAGAAAACCAATCAACTCCCCCTTGACTAGTGTGTTCGCCTGCATTTCCCCTGGACTTCACTGCGCTTTTGCTTCTCTCCTCCCCTCACACAGAACTCCAACTTTCTTCACTCAGCAACTTCCTTCCATGTAGGCGCACAAATGGAGTATGAGTTACCAGAGAGGAGAGGTGTCCCCCATCACAGAATGTAGAGCAAGGAGGTTGCAAGTGGAGGATTCTGTGCAGGAGTTAGAAGTATACACACACACACACACACACACACACACACACACACACACACACACTGTTGTAATGTACCCCGCGAATAACACAAGGATACCTCAAGAAGTTGAATTAAGGAGTCACATTTATTTTAAATCCGGGACTACAAGGGGACATTTTGCTCTCCAAATCTCGTAGTGATAAGATGGCCGCAACACCAGATTTATATAGGCAAAAATCACAAAGGTATTGATTACATCTTGGGGTTTGGAATGAGGAACCTGGTTTGCAAAAAAACAGTTTGTTACAGAAGCTAGATTGAGCTGATTAGTTATCTACAAAGATTAATTATAGTTTCAGGTCTTGGGACCACTGAGTCGACAGAAACACATTATCTGGAGCCATCGGGTCTTGGGACCACTGAGTCAACGGAAACACATTATTTGGAGCCACTGAGGCAATTTAGAGTAATTGTAAAGTGCTGGCCTCCACGTACAGAGAAATGTGTTTTCTAAAACCAGTATGACCACAACCAATGAGGTATTCAAATTACAATCAATAGGGTATTCAACCGAATGGGATGATTTATATAATTCAGAAAATCAAAATAGCTTTTCTATTATTTTAGCAAGCAAATAATGACAGAAGCCAAGTCAGCAAGGTTAAAATATTAAACAGCAATTCCCACCAAGCATGGCTGCCACCATGCTTCAACACATGCGCGTGCATGTGCACACACACACTCATACACACAATTCTTAAAACAGATTTATGCAGAGGCTACTGTGTGTTCACCAAATTCTATCTCCTTTTCTTCCCAGCAAATAGTATGTCTAATTTCTCGGTTTCTCTTGCAACCATTTGGGGTGATATGGCTGAATTTGGGGAAATGAACAGTGAGCAGGAGTGATGTGTGCCACTTCCACGAGCTCCTCCCTCTTTTCTTAAAATTAAAACTTATGTCCACACAAAATCTTGTATGTGTATGCTCATAGCAGTATTATTTATGGCAGCCAAAAAGTGGAAACAACCCAAGTATTCACCAACTCCTGAAAGGATAAATAAATGTAGGATAGCCACACAGTGGAATGTTATCCTATACTAGAGGCCTAGTGCACAAAATTCGTACATGGGTGTGGTCCCTAGGCCTGGCAGGCGATTGAAGCGTGAGCGTCTGGCATGGAAGGGCAGTCCCAGCTGACCTCTGGGCCCTGGGCAGCACCTAGGCCCCTGGGCTCCCACACGTCCCCCTCTACCTGAGTCATTGGGCCCTTGCCCCGCTCTGTCAGGGCCCATCAGGGCCGGCGCACCTACACTGCCGCCTGCTGCCAGCACCGCATCACCGATGCCCACCATGTTCTGCACTGCCCCCTGATGGTCAGTGCATGTCATAGCGAACCGTTGAACTCCCAGTCGAGGGGACAATTTGCATATTCGGCTTTTATTATATAGGATAAGAGCCGAATATGCAAATCTACCAAACAGTGGAACGACCAGTCACTATGATGCACACTGACCACAAGGGAGCAGACACTCAACACAGGAGCTGCCCCCTGGTGGTCAGTGCACTCCTACAGGGAGAGCACTGCTCAGTCAGAAGCTGGGCTCACGGCTGGCGAGCGCAGCTGTGGTGGCGGGAGCCTCTCCCACTTCCACAGCAGTGCTAAGGATGTCTGACTATGGGGAGTGGGTCTAAGCCATCAGTCGGACATCCCCCGAGGGCTCCCAGACTGCAAGAGGGTGCAGGCCAGGCTGACGGACCCCCCCCCCCCCAGTGCACGAATTTCATGCACCGGGCCTCTGGTTCAGTAATAAAATGGAATGAAATGCTGATACATGGTGCAGCACAGATAAACTTTGAAAACATTGTGTTATGTAGAAACAGCCAGTAACAAAAGGCCACCTATTGGTGCCATTTGTATGAAATGTTCAGATAGACAAATCCATAGAGATAATGTGTAAATTAGAGGTTGCCTGGGACTTGAAAGGGAAAACGATTGGGAAAAATGGAAACTGACTTTTAATGGGTACAGGGTTTCTCTTGGGGGTGATGATAATGTTTTAAAATTGATTGTGTTGATTGATGGTTGCACTATGCTATGAATATACTGAAAATCACTGAACAGAACCCTTTAAATGGGTGAATTGTATGGGATGTGAATTATCTCTATATATAAAAGCCTAAGTGACCTATATGACCGAATGACCAAAATGACCAGAGTGACAGGAATGACTGGTCGCTATGACATGCACTGACCACCAGGGAGCAGACGCTCAACGCAGGAGCTGCCCCCTGATAGTCAGTGTGCTCCCACAGCCAACCTCCCCTGGCCTGCCAACCTCCCGCGGTCCATCCTCCCGGCCCGCAGGCCCTGATAGCTTGATCAGGCCAGGCCCTGGGCTGGGATGGGGAACCAGGGGTGGGTGGCAGCAGACATGGCCCCTTTCCCAGGGGGGCTGAGGGCTGGCTCCCTCCTGGGGCTGGCGGCCAACCTCCTGTAGTCCCTCCCCCCTTTTTCCCCCCCGGCCAGCAGGCCCCAATCAGCCAGGCCCTAATTGGCCCTGCCCCAATTGGCCCTGATCGCCAGCCAGACCTAGGGACCCCACCCATGCATGAATTTCATGCACTGGGCCTCTAGTATCTCAATAAAGCCATTAAAAATCCATTCTGCCCTGGCTGGTGTTCTCAGTGGTTAGAGCATCAGCCCACAGACCTAAGGGTTGTGAGTTTGATTCCTGGTTAAGAACATGTACCTGGGTTGTAGGTTCAATCCCTAGCCCAGTCTGAGTGTGTGGGGGAGACAACCAATTGATGTGTCTCTCTCACATTGATGGTTCTCTCTCTTTTTCTTTCTCTCTTTCTCTCTCTACTCCCTTCTCCTTCCCTCCCATTTTCTCTAAAAAGCCATGGGTGAGGAGTTAAAAAAAAAATTCTGAATTATATTCTAGTTAATGATACAATTACATATGTCCAACTACAGAATGATATTGTGCCCAATACAGAACAATTGGTGGCAAGTGCATAGACTCAGTACTATGGCCTGCAAACATGACTCAGGATACCTGTCCTATCCTCAGAGATCACCCAGTTGGACCATTCACAACACCCTAAGGCCTACAGAAACTTAAGTGAGTCTATTCCTAAGAAACTTCAGAGGGTCCCTTGCAGCCATGTGCTAGTAAATGTTTAACAACTGACTCTCTGGTGGGAAAAAAACACCCTGATTTGTAGCACTTGCTACTTTCCCTGGTATAAATATTCTCACAATGGACAATTTCAAGCTATCGACAGGGTATCACTGAATGTAGAGATGGAGAAAAGACAGGTGATACTGTACCATAATATAGTATTTCTACCATACATATATAATAGATGTAAATAACCACAAAAACATAACAAATAGCAAAATGTAGTTAAATTAGAAAGTTATGATTTTTGAGCATTTAATGTCTTTGCTTTTAATATAATCTACTTAACTGAAAGTTTGCATAGTTAATCCTTAATAATGGATGTGTTTATCAGCCGATTTAAAAATTCCTAAAAATTTAACAATTGGCCCTTGAGAGCTGGTATAAGCTGGCTCCAGCAACCACCTTCAGTCTGTGGCTGGTCAGAGGAAGAGAAGAGACAAATGGACAGCGTCCCCTCTTATCACTGCCATCCCCACCCTGCCCCAAATTAATGAACAGAGCACTCTGCCTCTCTAATCCAGAACCAGGCATTCCTGGAAGACTGTAGAGCAATTGGGAGTTTTCTCTTTCTCCCTATTTCAATAAAATGTCTGGCTTTCTGTTTCTAGTCACCATATTCACCTGCAGCCCCTAACATTCTGCCTGACCCCCAGCCCATGCCCAAGGAGCAGTAACAAGTGAATAAGAAGGGGGTGAGCAGGGACGGCAGCTGGGTTAATACCTTCTCCGTGCTCTTTAGGAAGGTGGCTCTCGGGTCCCTCAGTTCACAATGAGTGAAGTTGGAAGACATTTGGCTTGAGTCTATCAGCTACCGTGGAGTAGAGGGAAGTGCATCAAAGAGTGGAATTCATGTGGAAAAAATCTGGAGACATTTTCAGGCTCTTGGCCCTGCCAGCTTGAGGTAATATAATTAGAATAGAATCCGGCTTGTTTGGTTTGTCTCTTTTATTTATTTATTAAAACAAATAGAGCCCCTTTGAAAATAGAGTGTGAGCTGCTCTTGGGCCTCCCGGGAAGGCAGGGGTGAGGGTGTTCTTTCCCTTTCTTCTCCCAGTGAGCTGGTGTTCGTCCTGGACCCCCAGAAGGATTAATCAGCCCCTCCCCTGAGCAACCACAGCTCTTTGTGTATTTTTCTATTACTGTACCCAGTCAGCAAATATTTATTGAGCACCCAGTATGTGCTAAGCAACTGGAGATGGAGTCATGAGATGACCATCCCAGTCTGTGTCCAGGGGCCGTAGAAGTTTGTTGGGAGAACTCATTGCCTTGTATGACAGCTCCACATACTCATGTCTGTCTGCTGCACAAGGAGCCCACTCAGCTCACCAAGGCAGGCTTCCAGGAACTCAGTAAAGCTTGTAGAATGAATGAAACTAGTCTGTAGAGGCAGAATATTCCATGGGCCCAGGTCTCTGAAAGCTGCTAATGGAAATCTACCCTAAAGAAATGGGAAACTCTCCACCTCTCAAAACAGGGACACAACTTTCCCTACTGCAGTCTCCCCGTGGCCTCCTAATGTATCCTTCAGCCATGGCTTGACTTCATAGCCACACATGGGTGCACAACTGCATGAATCAGCAACTTAAGAGCAGCTTAAATCTCTGGGTCAGAGATGCCCTGCAGAGAAAGCAAAATGGTTGCTCAAAAGATGCTTTAAAATTCCTGGAAGTTGCAGTTGTATGACTGCTGTGAGGAAGTCTATTTTTAACCAGCTATTGCCTAAGATTTTTTTTTTTTAATTAAATGAAGACAAAAGAGGAACCAAGGAGCAAATGGAAATTTTTCAAACCCTACCAGCCATGTCTGTACAACATCTGTGTCACCGTAAGTACACAGGACACACCAACAGAGCTCCACGAAGAGATGCATAAACGTTTGGTACACATGCTGTGCTCACACGTGTGCACCTCCATCAACCAGGAGGACAACTGGTATCTTTGGATTTTAACAAGTGAGCACTTGAAAAGAGAAAAGGATTTCCTCAGTTACACAGCACAGCAGTTCTATAGGCTTAATTGCTATAAACCCACTGGGCTTTTTCTAGTTAGGTGTCCTCTCCTGTAACATCTTTAATAATCTCCCAAATGTCTC